GAGATAGACCTCTTCAGATCTTTGCATGTATGAGTGCTTAGTCATGTCCAACTCTTTGAGACCCCACAGACCATATCCTGCCAGGCAACCCTGTCCATGGGATTTTCCAGATAAGAATACTGGAACAAATTGCCATTCCCTTCTGCAGGGGATCTTCCGGACCCAGGGATTAAACCCATGTCTCTTGCATTGGTGGGTGAATTTTTTTATCACAGAGCCACCTAGTAAACCCCTATAATGAGAACTGAAAGTTGATAATAATCCAATAATAGCAAACATCAGTGTGGTTTTAAAATGTTGTATTAGATTTGTTAACTATCTGGGGTTTAAATTTTGTCACGGTCCATTAGCAAATTACAACTAATTTAACTTAAGACCTTATGGGTCATTCACAAGTCATCAGTACCTTTTGTATTCTTATTTAAACAAAGAGGATTAAACTAGATGAGTTCTAAATTCTCTTCCAGCCCTAATTTTTGTTGTTCATTTTACATTTCAAAGAAATGTAAACCATCAGAGTTTAAACCAGCGTTAAATTTCCGGCCTGGCTTAAACTCTGATGATGCCAAGGTTATTTTAATAATAAAGGTACCAATAACAGTATCTAAGTCATATGCTAGAGATGGAGCAGGTAGGGAGAGGAAGAAGGAGAGGAGAAGGGAGAGAGGGAATGTTTCTTCACTGCACATGGATATTAAGCTGTGTTTTCTTGTGCCATACATTCACTATCAAGTAACGAAAGAAAACTCCTTTGGGTGCATGTTAGAAATTTGAATGTGCTATTTTCACAGTTAGTTAAATAACATATTTCCCGAAATGATATCAGCTGGAGAACAGGCGGCAGTTTGAGCTCTACGGTGTGTTTGAAAATCTCAGGACACTGGAGCTCTGTGAACTTCTGCCTTAGCACTGTGGCAGCTCATGCATCTTAGACAATGGGAGGCGTCATGTGATATTCTGAACTTTCCTCGTCATACCTTAATATGAGAACACCTTCTACTGTTCTGACCCCCACTAAAGATTAAACATTGCCATTGCCAAAATAAGAAAAAAAAATTCCCTAACTCAATCTCTGTTTTCACACATTGGAGAAGAATCGGTTTCAAATTCACTATAACTTAAACCATTAAGGACTATATTTGTCCAAGACAACACTTTGGCTTATACTCCAGACAAGGCCATGCAGCCAGTGTGAACTCTCTGTCTTCGGTGTAATGCATTCCATATGCTTCACTGTGCTGTAGAAGCAGACAACTGAATCTTTTCACATTTGAGTTGATTCAGATTAGTAGCTCTAAATTGGAGATCAGTTTTAGGGTGATGGATGCTATTTAGAAAGAGGAACAGTAGTTTCTAAGGAATGATATAGCAAAGATAATCATTGTATTTGACACAAGCTTCTAGCCAGTCAATAATTATATAATTATTTCTATGCCTTTCTTGAATAAAAAAGTTTATTCAAACCACAGAGACTTTTTCATCATCCCTGGTAGTCTAGTGGTTAGGATTCAGCACTCTCAAACCACAGAGACTTCTTCTACTTCATCAGACATCTTCAAATTGTACAGAAATAAGAATGTTTTCTTGATTATAAAAGTGACATACCTTCCTTACACAAAATTACTAAACAACTGAGAAACATCTGAAGAAATAATACAAATACCTACCAATCTCACCAACCAAAGATAACATTCATTAAACTGCTATCGTTTTGAGCATACCTATTGATACCAAAGTAGGAAGTCAAGAGATACCTGGAGTAACAGAAAGATTTGGCCATGGAGTACAAAATGAAGTAGGGCAAAGGCTAATAGAGTTTTGCCAAGAAAATGCACTGGTTCATAGCAAACACCCTCTTCCAACAACACAAGAGAAGAAACTACACATGAACATCACCAGATGGTCAATACCGAAATCAGATTGATTATATTCTTTGCAGCCAAAGATGGAGAAACTCTATACAGTCAGCAAAAACAAGACCGGGAGCTGACTGTGGCTCAGATCATGAACTCCTTATTGCCAAATTTAGACTTAAATTGAAGAAAGTAGGGAAAACCTCTAGACCACTCAGGTATGACCTAAATCAAACCCCTTACAATTAAACAGTGGAAGTGACAAATAGATTCAAGGGATTAGATCTGATAGAGTGTCTGAAAAACTATGGACAGAGGTTCTTGACATTGTACAGGAAACAGTGATCAAGACAATCTCCAAGAAAAAGAAATGCCAAAAGGCAAAATGGTTGTCTGAGGAGGCCTTACAAATAGCTGAGAAAAGAAGTGAAAGGCAAAGGAGAAAAGGAAAGATATACCCATTTTAATGCAGTTTCAAAGAATAACAAGGAGAGATAGGAAAGACTTCCTAAGTGATGAATGCAAAGAAATAGAGGAAAACAACAGAATGGGAAAGACTATAGATTTCCAAGAAAATTAGAGATACCAAGGGAACATTTCATGCAAAAAGGCGCACAATAAAGGACAGAAATGGTATGGACCTAACAGAAGCAGAAGGTATTAAGAAGAGGTGGCAAGAATGTGCATATGAACTATACAAAATTATCTTCATGGCCCAGATAACCATGATAGTGTGCTCACTCATCTAGAGCCAGACATCCTGGAATGTGAAGTCAAGTGGCCCTTAGGAAGCATCACTAAGAACAAAGCTAGTGGAGGTGATGGAATTACAGTTGAGGTATTGAAGATCCTAAAAGATAATGCTGTTAAAGTATTCCACTCAATATGCCAGCAAAGGTGGAAAACTCAGCAGTGGCCACAGGACTGGAAAAGGTCAGTTTTCATTCCAATCCCAAAGAAAGGCAATGCCAAAGAATGTTCAAACTGCTGCACAATTGCACTCATCTCACACGCTAGCAATGTAATGCTCAAAATTCTCCAAGCCAGGCTTCAACAGACATGAACCATGAACTTCCAGATGTTAAAGCTTGGTTTAGAAAAGGCAGAGGAGCCAGAGATCAAATTGTCAACATCCATTGGATCATTGAAAAAGCAAGAGAATTCCAGAAAAATATCTACTTCTGCTTTATTGATTACACCAAAGCTTTTGACTGTGTAGAGCACAAGCTATGGAAAATTCTTTAAGAGATAGGAATACCAGACCACCTTACCTGCCTCCTGAGAAATCTGCATGCAGATCAAGAAGCAACAGTTAGAACAGGACATGGAACAACAGACTGGTTCCAAATTGGGAAAGGAGTATGTCAAGGCTGTATGTTGTCACCCTGCTTATTTAACGTATATGCAGAGTACAACATGCGAAATGCCAAGCTAGATGAAGCAAAAACTGGAATTAAGATTGCCAGGAGAAATATCAATAACCTCAAATATGCAGATGACACCACCCTTATGGCAGAAAGTGAAGAAGAACTAAAGAGCCTCTTAATGAAAGTGAAAGAAGAGAGTGAAAAAGTTGGCTTAAAACTCAACATTAAAAAACGAAGATCATGGCATCCATTCCCATCACTTCATGGCAAATAGATGGGAAAACAATGGAAATAGTGACAGACTATTTTGGGGGGCTCCAAAAATCACTGCAGATGGTGACTGCAGCCATGAAATTAAAAAACACTAACTCCTTGGAAGGAAAGTTATGACCAACCTAGACAGCATATTAAAAAGCAGAGACATTACTGTGCCAATAAAGGTCCGTCTAGTCCAGCTATGGTTTTTCTCACATCCAGTCATGTATGGATGTGAGAGTTGGACTGTGAAGAAAGCTGAGTGCCAAAAAATTGATGCTTTTGAACTGTGGTGTTGGAGAAGAATCTTGAGAGTCCCTTGGACTGACTGCAAGGAGATCCAACCCGCCCATCTTGTAGGAAATCAGTCCTGAGTATTCATTGGAAGGACTGATGCTGAAGCTGAAACTCCAATACTTTGGCTACCTGATGCAAAGAACTGACTCCTTGGAATAGTCCCTGATGCTGGGAAAGATTGAAGGCAGGAGAATGGAACGATGGAGGATGAGATGGTTGGATAGCATCACAGACTCGATGGACATGAGTTTGAGCAAGCTCCAGGAGTTGATGTTGGACAGGGAAGCCTTGAGTGCTGCAGTCCATGGAGTCACAAAGAGTCGGACATGACTGACCGACTGAACTGATTGCTGACTAAATGATATCATGTATATGTGAATTATACATAGTGAGTGAAAGAAAATAATATACATAACAAATATATATAATATACAAAAATGTATGTTGTGATTGTTTTTGGATCATCTTTGTCATAGGTTTGTAGCCTGCTTTTTTTCTTAGAATTATAACTGATTTTCTGTATTCTTTCTTGTTATTTTAGAACATGATTTTTAATCATTGAGCTATATTTTTCATGATTTAACATAAAGCATTTGATCAATTTTATTATTAGATATACATTTTTGACATAATGACTATCACTTCAGATAATTTCACACAAACTTTTTGATATATGTGATTATTTCCTTTGAAATTTTATCTGAAATTTTCAGATAAATTTGTCTGAAATTTTTGAATCAAAAGTTAACATTTGATGCCGATTTTGTCTCAGTAAGCTGTTTTAATTATACTCTTACCCATAGTGTAGGACTCATTATTTTACTAAATCCTTTGTCACAGTAACTTGTTTTTTAAACTTTGTCAATTTGGTAGGAGGAAAATAACATGTCCTTTAACCCATATTTTGATTAAAAGTAGCTTGCAATATTTTCTATTTCTTGATCACATGTATTTTTTCTTTGATAATTTAAAATTTTTTGTTATTTGCCCCCTTTTCCATCTAGAAATCTGTTTTTCTGGCACTGAATTCTGTACGGATTTGATCCTTTTTGGATTCTTCTAAATAACATTGTGCTGTTCAGATCTTATGGAAATATCCCTCATATAGCTTTTCTCTTCTAATTTTGACTCTCGATAAATATAGGGTTATTACATTAAAATCTTCTTCACTAAAATATTTCTACAGTTGCAAAGTTTGACAATCTAACTTTATATATTTTTTTAATAGAAAATATGAAGGACTGATTACTAGACACTTGAAGACAAAAATAGAAGAGAATAATATGACTCAAATATTTACTCCAGGAGGATGCCTATCAAATACATCAGCAGATCGGGAAAACACAGGTATGGCATTTCAGAGGTCATCTTCCCAGGTGGATTGTATACATGAGAGAGATTAGTGGTTTTCAGATTGTGTACCTAGCTCCTTTCATTCTTTGTAGGTGCTACCCATAAACCTGTGGTAGGTCAGTAAGGAGAAGGCAGAACCGTAGGCATGTGCTACCAGAGTCCCTTTATCTGAGTCCATCATGACCGCTCTGCTTCTCATTGTTCACTTCAGATAGTTGGTTCTATAATGAATTTCTTTTGTTAAAAAAAAGAGGGTCCTTCTGGTATTTAGGATTCTGAAACAACTGCTCTAGGAAGTTTTCCTTTCTTTGTGTTAAATTATTTTGTTATTATCAAGCTTGATTGTAAATCACCAGTAAACCTTTCTGGAACTACAAAGAGATTCAATTCAAAAATAATAGAAATTGTAGTCATATAATAAAACTCAGTTTGTTTAATATCTAATATAGCTATCTGACATTATTCAGGAATAGATAATATAGAGAGTCTTGATCATTTCCTGAGTAATAATTAGCTTACTTTTAGTATGCTTTATATACACTTAACAAAAATGAAGCATGTCATGCATAAATGCTAAATCTTAAGTTCTATAATGTTATTTGTTTGGGGGAGGATTTTGCTTCACCACTAAAATCTCTTTATTTGGAGTTCAAGGGGTTGCATATTTCAACATATTTGGAGGTAGGATTTGTCCAATTGTTATTATTTCACTAAACATGTGCTATTAAAAAGAAATTCATTACCTTTAAAGCAAAGTCTAGATGCAGTAAAACCTAAAATAAAATGTGCCAAGTACTACTATAAGTGTATTCCAAAGTACTATAATTAAGCAATGTTATATAGCTTCTTCCTTAGAACTTAATGGTTCTTTTGGCCATACTGATGAGTTTTTGTCACTCACCCCAATTTCCAGGTTTTACATGCCAGGAGGTTTTTTAAAATCATATTTTGAAGCAAGTGAAAAGTCAAGTGAAATGCATGCAAACTAAATGTATGATCATTTATGTACAAAATGTTGAGAATAAAGTTACATTTTTTGTTAGTATATCATTTATTCATTCAACAAACATGCATGGAATCTTGTCCTAGGTCAAGATGTTTCAAGATATTAGAGTGTTAATTGAGGGGGAAATGGAATGAATGAATATATATATATATATGTATATATATATATATACATATATATATGTGTGTGTGTGCATGAATACTTTTAAAGATTTTTATAGGGACTTCTTTTTAGACAGAATAAGATCTCTAGGATAGACAATAATAAAAATTGTCACTATGATAACAGTATCTTTCACTGATATAGTAGACTTAGTATTATTTAAGTCTAGACTTATATGGACTTGCTAGTTTGCCAACATGAAACTATAGAAATAGACATCTTTCTTTAAAAATGAGAAAACCTAGACACACAAAGTTAATTAACCTGACCACAGTCAAAGTTCCAGTAAGTGACAAATACAGGACACAGCCCAAAATGTCATCTTCAAGTCTATGCAATGAACCATTACAGACTGGACAGTACTGATTGAAAATAAAACATAGTATCTGAGAGGGAATGACTCTAATTCACATGTAGAGATTGGTGTCCCAGCACAAGTGCAGACACTTGAAGACAAATCCCGCCAAGAATTTGAACCACTCTCTCATTGAGTGTGGTGGACACAACTGTTGTTCTAATTCCCATGACAGTTAGGTGCACTTCTGCTCTGGAACAAAGAAACAGAGCAAGAACTATAAAAACCAAAACACAATTGAAGCTGGGCTGCTCATTTTTATGAGTTAATTTTCTTTGCAGTTAGAGTTGCAACAGTTATGCAAACAGTTTCCTGATTTGATAGCAACTACAGGGGTACTGAAGTCCAAAGATAAAGTGAAACTTACAGATCTAAGTGTTCTGCTGAGTATATTTATTGAATACTTTGTGTCAGACACTGTACTTGAAAAACATTACCATAAGATTACAGAAAGTCTCAAGGAATATTCAGTTAGTGGTATGAATTAGGCCTGTAAGGAACAAATTTGAAGTCTACCAAAGCCTTATGTGGCAGAAACATTTACTGTTCACCAGTCCACCATGTGCGCCAGAATTTTTTCCAGGCCCCTTGCAGGTCTGTTAGGCTTTGTTCTGGCCTACAAGCTGTAAGTAAAAATGACACGTATCACCTTGCATCCAAGTATATAAGACCAGGTGTGTGACCCTCCACTTCCATCTTCCCCTGCTGTGGTTTGTTTTGGAGGAACATGTTGAGATGTCTAATTCATGGCGTCAGTATCTGCCTGGAGAGCCAACCATCTTGCATCAAAATTTGCAGGAATAAGAACTAAACTTTTGCCCAGGGAATAAGATGTAGAGGTTAACTCACCATGATGGCATTGTCTAGCCCATCATCAATAATATACCTGGCTCTTTTTATTTTCCTGTAAAGGCTCTTTCTAAACAAACTCTTTCAAGCATATGAATAGTTAAGTCATGGCGATGCTCCTGATGCACAGAGGAATAATTGAATGTCTTCAAATAGGATGTTTTGCCACTCCAGGAATTTCCTGTGTTTCCTTGAGATCTTGTTCTGGAGATTTCCAGGTGTGGTACCACATTGTGAAGCTCCTAATCATGGGGTCAAGAGGATCAACTTACAGAGAGATTTCAGGTCTTACATCATTTTGACAGATATATGTATATATATATGTAATTTGGTACCTATTTGTGAGAGAGAGAATAAAAGAAAGAAAAAGTTAAATTACATTCTCTAGATCAGCACTGTCCAAGAAAAATCTTACTTAAGCCACATTTGTCATTTTAGCTATTCTAGTAACTACGTTAAAAAAGGAAAAAGAGAATTGATTATAACAATATACTTTATTTAGACCAGTATATCCAGCAAATATCATTTTAACATGTAATTCTGACATGTAATCAGTATGAAAGTTTATTCATTTCACGTGAAATCTTTGAAATCTGATGTGCATTTTAATGTTGAAGCACATCTTTATTTAGACTAGACACATCTCAAATGCTCAATAACCACAGGAAGCTATATTTAACACTGACAGCTCTAGATTTAGCTTAAATTTATTCCATGTGTATTAAGCTTATGTTAGGCATTGTATTAGGCACACTCACCACACTGTTGAATTCATTCATTGTAGTATTCTTTTGAGTTACCAAATGAATGCACTGACAGAGTCAGAAAATGACAGAGTTAAGATTCAAACCCATTCTCCTTCCAGCTTTTGGAGATGTGGCAATGCTCTTGGCAAGTATATTGCAATGGAGAGCTCCACGTCATCCAAGTAAGAAAAGTGAAGCCCCCCAATAAGGTAAGAGCATTGGTGATGGAGAGAAGGGTGAAGTTAATGAATATTAAAGAAGTATAGTCAGACTACTCTACCTGATGACTGATTGCATATAGACAGGTGAAAACGGAGGAGCCTGTCAAGCGTGGGTTCCTGCTTCTGATTTGAGAAACTGGATTGGCAATGATCTGTTCGAAGAAGACTGATATGGGGCTTGTTAACCTGAAGTTGAAATTGAGCAATTGTGATAACTGCAATTGCTACTACAATGCAAAGAACCTAACCCTTTTTTTTGTTTGTTTGTTTTAGTCATCATTAGGTTATGTTGTTGTTGTTTAGTCACTAAGTCATGTCCAGCTCTTTGTGACCCCGTAGACTGCAGTATGCCAGACTTCCCTGTCCTTCGCTATCTCCCAGAGTTTGCTCAGATTCATGTCCACTGAGTCAGTGATGTTATTTAACCATCTCATCCTCTGCCATCCCCTTCTCCTTTTGCCTTCAATCTTTCTCAGTATCAGGGACTTTTCCTATGAGTAGGCTCTTCACATCAGGTGGTCAAAGCATTGGAGCTTCAGCTTCAGCATCAGTCCTTCCAATGAATATTCAAGTTGATTTCCTTTAGGATTGACTGCTTTGATTCCTTGCAGTCGAAGGGTTAGATTTGGTTCTACTTGGTCACAAATGCCCCATGATAGTGATTGCTAACTATTTAAGAAAAATAATATCTTCATAACAGAACTATTTACATGGATTGACAAATCTTTAGTATTATTACACAAAGAAGAACACCAACAGCTAATTCAACAACCTCAGATTTATAGCATGTAATGTGTACAAGCCTCTATGTGCTTCCTTATATATTTTTAAAAGATACTCATTCAACTTTGTCACCACACAAGCAACAGTGGAGATTTTTGTGGAGTTTCATAGTTATGTGCTTATCTTCAAAACTGGAAGAATAATTCCAAGTGATGCCACTTGGGGCTGAGCCATCTGCCTTGGCAGGGTCTACTGGATGATGTGTAGGCCATGTACTTTAGAAAATCTGATCTTAATAATCCAAAGCAACTCAGCTTTTTACTCTGATCAAATCACATCATTAACTGCATAATGCAGGATACAGGAGGTGACTAAGAACAGAACTTGGAGGAAACCAAGCATCTCATAAGCAACTGACAGGGACTACTGGCCCACAGATGGTAACTGTTTGGAAAAAAAAAAGCAACAGTTATTCTAGAAAGTCAGAGTTGAGCTATATTTATTTCTCTATATTTACTATATCAGGGAAATCTTCATAAAGTTGTTTGCAGCAAGCAGATGTTTTATTGTAGTTGATAATGGGTCACATTTATTTAAATTGACTATATCTTCATGGACACTTACTCTAACCTGCACATGGAATCCTCTTAAGTTATTGCAGAAATGCTGCTTCAGATTGCTACAGGTGCTCTAGATTAAAGAAAAGAACAGTTCAGGTTTCCCACTGCTCACGCAGCCCACTTTCAAGATCGCTAGTAACATTTACTGTATTTTATCAGAAAGTTTTCCAAGATTGTTTTGACTTTTTCAATCATGACCATTTTCCTGTCCATTATTACTCATGCCTTCAAGAATTAACCTTTAGAAATTTGACCAAAGCAATACCTGCAATTCTGAGGTTATAAGCCAAGGTTCATGCAAAATGAATTCCAAGCAGGGAGTATTATCTTGTATAGCTGCTCTGTGTTGAAGAGTTTTCAACTGGTACTTAACACACTCATGCAGTATGCAAAAAGCTTTACTTTGACCACTGGTCTCCTTGCTGGTAAATCAACCGTTAGCTGACGGTAGAAGGAACTGTCCTAACCTGAGCCCTGGGGCTCAGAGATGATAGTCCTTCTGAGTTGTAGTTTGTGCTTTATTCTACAAGGTTCCCCTGTACTTTGAAATGCTTTAGGATGCAGTTAGCCCAATATTTTTTTTGGCCCCCCTCAGTCACTAAAAGTCATTGAAAGCCAGCTTATTCCCTTCCAATATACTATTACCCCAACTTAGCAAAAATATCATCTTAAAAATAAATAGAATTTAGCAAACGATGGACTACAATGAATTTCAGGTTACAGATTTGTAAGCTGAGAAGGCACCAATTATTCAGAACCTCAGACATTCAGTAGCTTGCACATTTCTAGGCATTGACTACATTGCTACCAACATTTCACATTATGCTTGTGCAATTACTTGAAACTTTCTCAAATGATATTTTATTATTATCACTTTTGTCAAAAATCTAAGTGGCATCTATTTGTTTAAACGTAAACCTTTCTGATTACTCATGTTTAAAATTCCAGTTAAACTAAAACATGCACCTGGGATCCTTTTACCATTATTGTAAGTGTATGTGGCTTATGAATTACAAACATAGAATTATTTTCTGTATATTTAAGCATATCTTATTTCTCCCTCTTTTTCCCTGCTAAATACTATCTCTGGTTTTCCCTTGACTTTGTCCTCCAATCATCCTTCTAATTTCTTAGGTCAACTAAGGCATAAGCAGATAGTCGTCATTTAGTCATTTTCATTCTTGTCTTGATCCATTTTCATATGTTCACTACATTGTATAAAAATACTCCAGGTTGTTTCTCAAAATCTTTTATGAATCCAAACTGAATCAAAGTACTAATATTAAACCCATAAAAATATTTTGTTGTAAGACATCTTGTATTTGGCCTTCACTTTCCATTTCGTTTGGTAAGCAAAGAATTTTCCCTTTATTCCTATAAACAAAAATGTTGATATCAAAGGCAGCTAGTCTTTCTCTGCCAAGTCTGAATTATATAAAATTGGAGTGTGCAGTTAAATATTTTAGGGAAGCTATACCAAAACAACTAAAACACAGAGTTTTTTAGTGATGCAAATCATAAACCCAGGCTCACAATGAAAGTGATACTTTAAGAATAAAACATGCTAGAAATTGATGCATGAAAGACAAAAACACAGAAGAATAACCTACCATGGCGCCAAAATTATATTAGTCATGTTAAACTCTTCAGGTTGAAAAACCTGAAACAGAAGACTAAAGGTTTACCTAAAATTTGCCTCTTTAGTTTCGTTTGAATTTTTGTTCCCCAAGATTTATGAACTTGTTCTAAATTCAGTCCATTTAAAACTATAGCATTGCTTTTTATGACACGGGAGAAATAAATGGTTTATTTTCCTTAAAATGTGGATGAATAGAGATTTAATGCTTATGAGTTTGATGGTATAGAATATATAATGTAATATATAGCATTTCATTATGGAACTGTCTGCATTCCTGTGTCTCTACATCATGTAGTTAGATATGTAAAGGATGCAGTTTTCAACTATAAAAATCTAAGATGCATACTTTATCAATAAAAATAACGTACAACTTGATTGCAAATGAAAATGTAGGAATGGAGTGTAATTATTCCTCATAGGCATCATTTTAAAGTAACTTTGTTGAATAATATTTGATTTAAGGTGGGAAAAAAGAAGTTTTTGAAACTTGAGAGGCAATCATTGTCCCCCCTGCAAATAAGATAATTAGAATGTCATGAAGTGTATATGGAAAGCAACTGGCATTAGGGAAGATTGCATATATTTTGAATTTTTACTCAAATCTTATAAATTTAATATTATCAGTCGATCTATATTCCATGCTACTTTTCAGCACATTTTTTACTATGTGGTACTTGAAGAAAACCACCAATTTCTAAAAGAAATCATAAATCTAAATGTAGGAAGAGATAGAAAATAGAAAAACAAAATATATTGAATGTTATACTCTCAGAGTAATGAACAGGTACTCATATCTCCTAGTATATGTAGAAACATAACAGATTTTATTGTGAAGTCACTAATTACTGTTGTGTTAAAACAGTAACTTATTTTAAAAATCAGTAAAATATATAGAATCACTAAATAACATGCAGTAGCCAAACTGTTCCTTAAATTTTATAGTGCATAATTCCTGGAGAAAGGCAGTTCTTAAGTTTTTTAAAAATGGAGTGCATCATAAATCACATAAATTACCATTGGGTACTTAGCATATTTTAAAAATTCTTTATTTCAAAAGAACCAGTCCTTTATTTCTTGGAAAAATATAACAGAAATAATATTTATATTCTCAACAAAACTTTCAGGAGACAAATTCTGGTTTCGATGTAATTTTCCGTACTTAAATGCATATATCATGACTATATGTTACCAAGGTAATTTTATCCAGCAGGTAAAATCCAAAATAAAGTTTTGTAATATCTGTAGCTAAGGATCATTTTTAATTTAAGTTTTTTTATTCCCACCATACTTCATGTCACAAACATACAAAAATGGCAACTCAAAAGAATCGTGAATCTCAAAATATAAAAATAAAATTTTCAGATTGCTCAAGTTCTTTCCCCTTATTCTTAATTTAAAAATATCTCTGCCTTTATTACTGAATACCATTTCACTTAGCAGAAGAAATAATAGATATACACATTTATGCAATGTAAAGAGCATAGCACGTTTAAGATAATTTTGATCATGTTTCCTGCAAAAGATGAGCAGCTTACATTTTTCATATATTCAACCTCTTGTTGAATGTTTGATATCAAAATCTTGCATAAAATATTAAACGTTTTTCAGAGAAGTTCAAGTATATTGTAATTATAGGAGAAACACTATACTGTACATAGTTTTAAATGAAAGCTATTGAAATTCTCTACTAAGTTTGGTGATTTTTACCATTCCCCCTATAAGTAGCCATTAGCGGTAAAAAACATCTTTCAATGTTGGTTTTTATAGATGTAGACACTGATATAGCTATTATAGGAAATGCTGGGGATTTTTCGTGTTATTATTACATTTTAAAAAATTCTCTATGGCCTAAAAAATAAGTTAATATTTTTTGTTATTCTAAATGTTCTAAGAATGAAAATTTTGGGAAAAAAAGCTTTATGGAATAATTAACATATGTTTAGAAATTCAGATAAAACAGACCAGTCATATTTGATTCTGGAATGCATCCAGACCTCCTTTTTCACTTTTTTTTTTCCTTTGAACCACACTTTTTCTCGTCCAAATAACATTTTCCTTATACTTTCTATTAGACATCAGGACTTCATGTTAACTGATAGATGTTTTGAGTCTTCAGTTAAGAAGACCTTTTCTGCTAAGGTTTCTTTTAATTGGGTGCCTTTCAAAGAGATTCCTTTCATTTCTAACCTTTTCTAATTTTTCTTTACCAGACTTTTAGTCCTACACTCAGCTGACTGACTGAGGCATGTTGTGGAGAATTTTCTGGACATGTTGTTAACATCTGACACAGTGAGTGAGGAAAATAACCCACAGTCAAAGGGAAGGTTCAAGAAGTGGCAGCTCCTGGAGATGCAAACTTAGGTGTGTTTGCTGGTTGCTGCAGATACACTGGTTAAATTCAAATCCATTCATTTCTCAATTGTGTCTCTCCCTCTAAACCACTGTAATGCAAACCAAAAGGACCTTTATGGATGTTTTTTATTGATGTGTGCAGATCAAGTGTATCTTTAATTAGTCCTGTCTGACATTTTCCACAATACCTTTAGTAGACAGTATTATATAAATATTTCTAGTCACAGGCTATGGAGGTGTTTGCCTAAATTTTTCTTGGATAAAGCCTTTAATGCTTTCACCCAGAATCCATAGAGGAGCTACCCGAGTTTGGGAAGTTTAGCGTTGCTCTTTGTACTTTAACTTTTAATATCAGAGCACATATTGAAACCATAAACACAATGAAAATTCAAGAAATATTCCGACGATATTAGAATACATCCCCTCCTTTTTTATCCTTAAAGAGCCACGGGCGTGGGGAGTGGCAGGAAGAAACATTCTTAAGATCTAAGCCCTGGACGCCATCCTGCGAGCGCTTAAAACCCTTAGAAACGTGCAACGTGAAGAACACCCCCTTTCGAAGTCTAAAACAATATTAGATTCCCAAAACATATCGGCAAAGAAAGCCTTACCGTCAAACGCTTGCGGCAGGTTCCAGCTCAAACCCAGACTGAAAAGTTGAGCAGCTGGTGAACAAAAGTTTTAACCTTTTTTTTTTTTTTTTTTAACGAAGTCTGCAAAACTAATTTCCCTCAAAATAGGGCTCAATTTCCGTTAAAGAAAGCAGTGCTAACAAATCTCAGAATTCCTGATCACTCCCACCCCATCTCACCTCTGAGCATTGGAAAACAATTCGAACTTTCACACGGATGTAAAGGTTTATTGCAAAGCCACTATTCTCCAGGACACTTGAAAGAAAAAGGAGATGGTCAGGCTGAAGCCCGAGGGACAGGGCTAGGGGAAAAGTTCTACCTTGGTGACATTTCTGAAAGATTAATCAATACATTTTCCTAATTCAAACCAGATGCCTGGCCCAGTTTGCTGTCCCCAATAATCCCATTAACAACTTCCAAGACCTGACCCCCGTCCTCTGGACACCTGAGACAATGAAAGTAAGACGGCGACGCTCCTGGTGGCACATTTGGGGTCCCGGGAGGGATAGGTGAGCGCCGATATTCTCCTGATGCGACAAGTCCCAGGCAGGGCTCAACTGTTCCCGCAGCTCATTATGCGCGGCCAGCGTGCGTGCCTTGTGTAAACGACTTGGCCCCCAGCAGACAGTGTCGCCCTTCAAGCATGTGGCAGTATCAAAGCCCAGCCGTCGCTCGCATTAATTCACCGGCCGCAAGTTTTCTAAGTCCTTTTCTAGGATGCAAAATTGTTACCAGGGAGATCCGAACTTTAAGGGATACCGAAGTGTAATATTTGTTTGGTAAATGGAACCGTGGCGGGGTGGGAGTGAAAGGGGTGAAATTAGCTGATTGATTTTTTGAGCGGAAGAGAGAAGAATTTCTGGATGGGGGCGAGGTGACAGGGGCTGGCTCCTGAGGGAGAGGGCTGGAAATGTACATGCAATATACACACTGCTTGTGACTAGGACGAAATCGCTTTAGAATACTCCTGATCCAGGAAAAGTTCTTCTGGGCGGACAAGTGGCTAGGAAATGGAGTTGGACCCGGAAATCGAGGGCGGTGTTGGGGAGGACATTTGAGGAAAGCAGGGGTCTCTTGACCCCACCTGCGACCGCAGGTGAGGATGCCAGAAGCAGAACATCTGCGACTGTCGCGGCCCCATGCCTTCTTCCACCCTACCAAGTCTCGTTCCTTGTGGCACAGAGAACGGCCCTTTCTTGCCCATGGGGAGCTTTTCCTATATCCTCGAATCTGGCGTCTCAGCGCTCTAACAACCCACCCACAGACACCAGCTGTATAATAAGCGAGAAGCGCCCCTGAACCCATGACACGAGTTGATGAGAAGTTGGAAAAGCTGAATCTGATTGCGCGCCAAACTAGCTCTGATTCTTTTCCTTAATTCTACTGCTTTCGTGCTCCTCCACAGTTAGGCACACCCTAAGCTTTCCTGCAGGTGACTCTGCCCAAGTGGCACTGACAAGACACCTTTCACGAGAGAAGTGAGCAGATGCGACACTGGGTGCGGGGCTGGAGCTGGCGGGAGCCAGTGCACGCCCCGGCCGGCGGAGCGGGAAGGGTAGCCGCTGACCGCCGGGGCTCGGGTTTAGGCGCCCGGCGCGCCGCTTGCAATCCCGGCTGTTGGCAGCGGCGGGCGGGCGTGGACGCGCTGCATGCGTCCAGCCGGCGATAGGAAGTAGAACTGGGAGCGCACTGCGCGGAGTGAGCGGGAGTTTTGGAGGGAGTTTGCATGTGGTCAGCACTGGGCTCCTAAGCCAGCCCCCAGCTCACATTACACTCTATTTATAACCTCTCAGAGCCGTTTCCCCCTGAAAGCAGTTCTCTGGGACCACCTTCTTTTGGCTTCAACCTCTCCTACTCTTGACATCTGAGTAGCTCAGAGGGAAGCTTCTCCAGGTCCGAGTGTTTATATGTAAAGGAGGCTGGCCGCTAGGGCTCAGGACCGGGATTATCCGAGCTCTGCAGAAACGCGGGCGGCTATTGCTTTGGGAGGGGGACAAGTCACAGGGTTTCCAGTGAAAAGTGACAGAGGGTGGTGGCGTTTGGAACCGTCGTGAAGTCTTCTGCCTGGAACCCGAGACTTGCATGCTATGGAACACCCGCTCTTTGGCTGCCTCCGCAGCCCCCACGCCACCGCGCAAGGCTTGCACCCGTTCTCCCAATCCTCTCTCGCCCTCCATGGAAGATCTGACCACATGTCCTACCCCGAGCTCTCCACGTCTTCCTCGTCTTGCATAATCGCGGGATACCCCAACGAGGAGGGCATGTTTGCCAGCCAGCATCACAGGGGGCATCACCACCATCATCACCACCATCATCACCACCACCAGCAGCAGCAGCACCAGGCTCTGCAGGCCAACTGGCACCTCCCGCAGATGTCCTCCCCGCCGAGCGCGGCTCGGCACAGCCTCTGCCTGCAGCCGGACTCGGGAGGGCCCCCGGAGCTGGGAAGCAGCCCGCCGGTCCTGTGCGCCAACTCCTCCAGCTTGGGCTCCAGCACCCCGACCGGGGCCGCGTGCCCGCCCGGGGACTACGGCCGCCAGGCGCTGTCACCCGCGGAGGCGGAGAAGAGAAGTGGCAGTAAGAGGAAAAGCGACAGCTCAGGTAAGGGCGAGCCGGGCCCCCTCGGAGAAAGGGGGCGGAGAGATGGCGGGGCAGATTCTCCCGCTAGAGAGAGGCGGCGGGCCTTTCGGGACAGGTCTTTCCCTCGCTGGCTCCTCGCCGCCAAATTCGGCGAGGCTGCTTCGGTCCTTTTATTCGCGGGCACGTGTTTCTCCGAGGGCAGCACAGCAGCCAACTGCGTTAAGCTCTCCAAGATTCAAACTAGTTTACCAGAGGGTTGAGAAAAAAAGGACAAGTGACAAGTATGTGAAATCGATTGCGAAGCGTGACCTTCCATCTGAGCGATGGGGAGAGGAATGCGCCCTGGGATGCAGCGTCCGCTGGGCGTGCGTGCGGGTGCCTTTCCTTGACTTTTCCCGACTCTGAATGGCTCGATTTTTCCCATCGTTAACTGGATTTCCAAATTATTGCACAACGTTTGGAACTTGCAGTGGAACTTGGCAGAGCACATGAGAAAAAGTTTTAGGTTTTTTTTTTTTTTTTTAATTCTGATTTCAGAGTTCTTTAAATAGCACCCTATTCCAAATGGTAAAATTTCTCTTTCTTGGGGAAGAAGAAGATATTGTCTAGGAATTCAGAGGATTTTAAGGAATGTGTCAGAGAATGGCAATTAAATATACGCTCAGACCCTTGACGAAAGACGATTCTTTTTTGTAGTTGTATTCATGTAATGCTAACCAAAAAGAAAATCTGAGTTTCAGAATTGGAAAGTAAAATCCTCCTCCAGTTGAGTACTATCCGAAACTAGGACTGGGAAACTTAACAGCAACCGGGGTAGCGCTGCTACAAGTGGGTGTGCGTAGGAGGCGCTGATCTAAGCGAGGATATCTTGAACCTCGTAGCAAAAGGGGAATCTTAATCAAACGCGAATGCTTGAAGGCACGGGCAGCCAACTAAACTTCAGCAATCCAGAGAAACTAAAGCTTTGCAGTCAACTGTCAAAGCCCTTACTTATCTCTGTCCTAATGAAATTGTTGAAAGATGCTTTATAAGGAGGGTATGAGCTTTCTTCAGTAGCTACGAGGCAACCTGCGTCCCATCTTTTTGTAAGCTGTCGTTTATTTAATATAATATTTACGTATTTTCTTTCTTTGCGGCATTGGTTTTAAGAGCCCTGGAAGATGATTCCAGGTACTGATTTGAAAGACTGGATAATGTCTATCCTTTATAATAATTTAGATTAGATTTCACATGAATGACAGTGATTGAGCCGCATGTTTCATGTTCTTTTGCGGCAATGGTATCAATTATTCTTCAGTATGAGTACGGAATGGGGGAATGGGTTCTTCTATCTCAAACTTAGAATCTCACGTTTACATTCCAAGGTCAGGGTGAACTTCTGATGCCCCATCACAAAATAGTTTATATCCAAAAAGGTTGCCAGTAGTATCACTCATTTTTAATGGTTTTTACTAACCCTAAGTGAGACACTCTTTAGACAGAGTGAAAAAGTTAATTATAGCAAGAAGGCTTCCATCTACATTAGAAAACCAGTCATTTTTAGAATGCAGTCATCCTTTTATAGAATCAACATTTGATATCAGTGTAACTTTTCTGGGATAAGATCTGAGTGCAGGTTAGCCAGGGACACTTTTGCAATTTACCAGAGGCTCTTACTGTTCCTTTTACTTTCTGCAGTGAGAAACCTATATGACGGATTGTTTCATATGATCTTCAACTGAACAAATGCACCTAAGTTTCTTAGGACAAACTGAATTTTCATATAGGCCTGTGTTATTTTGATCAAGGAGAAATCAGGAAAGTGAGATATAAGAACTGACTCCCTTCAGTTATTTTAATAATGACTTTCTTAAGAAAACTGGTTATATTAATTAATAGTGCTACCGTCCTCTAGTGCGAAATAACCATATAACAAAATAAGTTTATTTTTTCATGTTGAAGTTGATAATTACAGTCCTGGAAAAATAAAAGTTTTCATCATATACATAAAATATTAATAGATTCCATCTTGAATGGGAAATACAATTAATCATCACCAAGGGTAGAATCACTGGGGAGTTAGAATGAACTTTTTCTTCAATGGGATATTTTGAAAGAACTCTTCACTGTCTAAAAGGAAATATATTTTAAATTTCTTGTTGAATATATGTACAATCTTTGAAAATAAAGTTTAAATAGCCAATTTCACTATTTTAGATAACATTTGTTAGATTCTTTAAGTAAATTTAAATTCAAGGTATCATTTTTATTGGAATGATGTTGTATTTGGTGTTTTATAATTTATGCTCACAGCTATTTCATTTCATATTATTATAAGGACACCTTGATCTAGCAGAAGCTAAAGCAAAGTAGAAAGTCAATGTAATTCTGACATATTATTAACACTTAATCTCTAATTGCTTAGAGCACAGTTTTAATGTTTCAATATTTC